TATGTAGATTATAGACTACACTGGTTCACATGCCACAACAACACTGACTGACTTTCACTTGAATAAAAAGATTTGTGGTGGTTCTCTGATGTTTTCTAATACTCATTTTGAAAATGGATACCAGGGCAGAGACGGTGGAAAACCTACACATGGCTGTTCTGACTGTGTGACCTGTTGGTAGCTGGTGAATATGCTTAATCTGCCAATGTTCACAAATCACCTCAACAATTATGGTTAGGCGACTAACATGTTCGACTTGCTGCAGTAGCAAAAGTATACGGACAAACGGCAGACACGCCTTCACCTAGATCAACAACTTTCCTCCTGTTCTGTCTAAACTAACGCTCCATTTCCTCACAGATCTATATCCTGTTGCTGACCCGTCTGCCATGGATCACTGTCAGAAGTGCTGCTCTGCTTTTTTTCCTCAAAGCACTCTGCAGAAAAGTATAAAAGTGACCCCCCCGGATAGACCAAATGTCTTGTCCGGAAAAGTGTTCTTCTCATGCTTTCCGTCTCCGCTGACAGTGTAGACAGACTGGAGGTCTGTTTTCCTCTCTCTAATTCACTACATTTGACGACAGAGTCTTGGCTGCAGGACCAGATGACTGATGATGGATGAGCTGCAGCGGAACATTTCTGGGTCACAGCACTGAACGCTCATTATACAAGCCAAGTCCAAGTCCTGGTTCCTTAAAACGATGGGTTATGGTCTGAAATGTGTTGTGAGCTGCTGCTGATAAGATGTCCACATGAAAACATTAATAATAACTTTACTGAGCCAGCATCAAAGGATGAGAATGTCTTCAAATTAGGCAGAAAGGGTTGAAGTGCAGAAGACGCTGTATTCAAGGAGAACAAATGTTTCTTTTGATTTTAAGCATGTCAGCAAGTGTGTTTTGGCTAGCCTCCTAAAAGGTGGGGTCAAGCGTGCCGTTCTTTTGTTCTGCTTTCTCTAAGCTCCAAGACAAGACAAGTTTCCAAAGCCAAAGATGAAGAACTGGGCTGAACTCCAAATAACGCTGCAAGTCTGCTGGAAGAGTCCGAGCTGCTCTAATGATATCAAACAGACCCGTGCCTGTATTTATAATGTTTCTACAAGCTTCAGCTTCATTGGAGAACATTCACTGGGCAGAAAGGAAAGACAGCTAAAGATGACCTGAGTCAGAATGTACCCTGTAAATGTCATCAACACTCGACTTGACCCTTGCCCTCTTAAACTAGGCATGTCCAGTCCCCAAGCCTCTAAGAATAGCAGCACTGATACAGGATCATTAATCAAGTTTGATGTGTGTAAAACCTTCAAACTGATATATCATGGCAACTGGTCTCAGCCTCTCTCACAGTACAATTAAATAGAAGAGTTCAAAATTTCAGAAATTCAGGAATCTAAAAAAACAAAATAAAAAGAACAAAATATCTGCTTTACATCCAAATTTCATTCCAGTTCAGCTACTCAACTATTTTCCATTTTGATTTTAAACATAAACCCTACAGAAGCTGTGAGTCTTTCAGCTGTGAAATGCACACAAATCTCTGTAACACTCACACATGCTCTCAGAGTGGCCAAAAACTCTTACAGCCAATAAATCAGCACATAAAACGCAGCGAGAGGCTCTGCAGTGGACTTCTACATCAAAGAGCTTACGCTGTCGTGACAAAAATGACATGTGCAGTAAGTGGCGTGTGAACGTTTCATGCAAATCCAAGTCCAAGATATATTGTTGTTCTCTGAGCTTAGGTCAAACTCAGTTAATTTAGGAGCTTAATGTAGGTGGGCCGACACTATCCTCCACACATCTGTACATACTTTAACAATCTTTCAGATAAGATTCAGATAAAAACATAAGCCCTCTAACAAACTCAAGATGCTAACTGCAGGTTTGAAGGTGAATCTGGGGATTAACAGTGGGTCGAATAGGATTTTTTAAAATTTCCTGGTAACAAAAAATACCCACAATATTCCTACAAGGATCTACAGAATCCCATCATACTTTATGCTATTTACCTTCAGTGGCTCAGTGGTATACGACTTGAAGCAGTTGTGAAATGTGTACGGCGTCTGTCTGAACTATTTAGAAAGATGGCAGTTGTTGGGATTGCACAGATCTCTGAAATGGCTCAGTAGAAAACAGCTGAGAGGCAACTGGTCTGCTTTCCTCTGCCCCATTTAATTCATGGGGCTGAGGTAAGCAACAGTAACAAGGGTGTACACTATTGTAGTGGTTGAGCACTGACAGAATGCAGTACACTACACAAAGTTTCTTTTTCATATATAGTTGTTAACATTTGTTCTACTGTCACATGTGAAGTTGAGGTAACGGTAGAGATAAAGTCACGATCAGCCACTTTTAGACGTTCTCTCATTCTAACCAACTTTAAGTGCTGAAGAAACTGAAGCCTCCACTTTGGGGACCAGTGTGGAGTCCTGAGGTCAAACCATTTGTGGATTCTGCAGAGGTCAAAACGTCATACGTGTGTCACTTCATTAATCAGTGTCATATCAAGGTAGCTGCTGATGGGATACATTAGTAATCCAATAGGCTTGAATGAATGCATGTATGCATGTTTCAGATGGTGACACACTGTGAAGCAGCTCATGTAGAGGGATGACCAAAGATGCTGTTCAGGCTCAGGTTTTACCGCAGTGAATAACAGAGCATGCAGGGCTATGCAAAAACTAAAACTCACTAGAAAACCCTAATTTAACAAGCTCCAATTAATCCACAGTGGTGTAAGTAGGTCACAGAGTAACTGACAAGCACACAACTGTTGCATCTCACAGCACACACTTCACTCGTTGACTGAAATCCTTATTGTGCAAGGTTTGACATTTTCTACTTGCGTTAAGTTAATGTCATTTAAAGTGATTTAAAACATGACTATAGTTTGTACATAGAGGTTAAGAGGCCAACTCTATGAAGTAGCATAAGTAATACACTCACCTACTGGATCACTGGCATTAGTTACAATAAAACATGTCTTGCATCAAGGACCCCCACACAGCTACTGTACATGATACAAACTGAGTCAGGATCCTATCTGTGCAGGACTTTGGAGGACTTGCAGCGTGCCACTACTTTAAGAGGGAAGTCTACAGCAGCCAATAAAACATTGTCCAACAGGAGGTAAAATAACACACAAAAAAAAACTATTCATCAGTTAGAGAAACCCCCCTTTACTGTCAGTGACCTCATGGAAACTTATTTCCTCAGACCTTTCTAAAAAGCGTTGTCCTGTACATTATTTTAACCCTGTGATCTTAACTAATTTGACTCTTTTACAGCCTGCGGGATCATTTTTGCATTTATTTCCGTACCTCCTCCAGCGCTATTTATAGCCGACCGGTCCCGCTGGGTGACAGCAACGAATACTTTGACCAGATATGGTTTCCTTCAGAGCCGCCTGGAGTCGCACTGCGCGGTCAACTCTGCAGCAGGCGCACAACCCGGGAACCCGCACAGAAAAGTCCGCTACACGAAACCGTCCATGACCCGCAGATAATCCTCAATTCAGCCGATTTCAGCGTGCTCAGAGTTTCCTCCCACGGCCCTGGTCGTCTCGCAGCGGGTTTCAGGAGGCTCAATCTCATCTCCCGCAAAGGGCAAAGTAAACTTATGGGGAGAGATCCTCCTCCTCCTCCTCCCCCCCAACACGGCTGCCCTGTCACTCCAGTGATGTCATTGAGAGCAACTGCGCCCATTGTCGGACAAGTTGGTTAGTTGGCATTTGCTATAATAAATGATTTCAAATGTATAGCCTGCTTTTTAGTTGAACTCACTCCAGCTTCATGGTTATGGTAGCGGTTCATTTCAATGTAAGTTACAATGTAAAAATGCATGGTGGGAGGTTCGTAAGATACTCCAAAAGTGTTCTACATAAGTAGAAGTACAGAGGTAGGCCCATATTATCAGCAACATGTTAGACACTTTGGGAAATATGGGCATTTTCTCTCTGGCAGAGCAGAGGAGAGTTTAGCTTAGCACCAGACTGAAACAGGAGGGAACCACTCAGCTGCCTGTCTCAAGGGGAACTCAGTCAGTCAAGTTACTGCACCCAGCCAACAAATAGTCAGGCACATAACCCAAAGTAAAATGGCTCATTGTTCGCAACACTTTTAAAATACATTTGATTTAACATGCTCAATAGTGAACTTTAGCAGTGTTGTGTCTGTATGTTCCATAATGGACATACTCTAGGGACATTTCACATTCACTCTGACAATTTGAGTTGCTCTCTCAGGATGAGGCCAGGTAGGCAGCCTTTGTTATCCTGCCTGGTGGGAAATATCT